AGTGAAAGGATAAAATATAACTACCATCAAGAGAAAAAAATTCACTAGAGGCCTAGAGTTATAAGGAATTTCAGTTTCCAGGTTTGCTTTTCAAGATACCATGTATCAGATAAATAAAATATTTTTTTTTAAAAATTCCAAAATGAGAGAAAATGTGATATTGGTCATTCTGAGACTGACTTAATTCACTTAACATGATCATCCCCGGCAACTGAAGGCTTTTGACTAATCTTAGGATGGTGGAAACACTTTTATTTTCATTGTTGTTATTTTATTTTTGAGACAGGTCTCACTGTGGTAGCCCAGGCTAGCACAGAACTTGGGATCCTCTGGTCTCAGCTTCCACAGTGATGGGTTACAGACCTGCAGCATCACTCCTGGCACTTGTTTTAAAGATAGACCCAACTGCATATAAAGTCGCTCTCGATAAAAAAGTTTTATTAATATATAGTTATATTTAGTTTAAAATTTAAAGTTGTGGAAATTTTCACATAAATAAATTCAGTGCTCAGTCAGAGGTTTGTTTTACTTTATATCTGTTCCTTTTCTGTAATGGGTGTTGTGGTTGAGAGTTTGGAATGTCAAGTACCCAGGTAATTTGTAGCCTGTGTCATCAGAGGGGGAGGAAGCATTATGGACCAGTGAGCTACAGCATCAACACAGCTCAGTTTTGGGCCTTTGTAAGAAATGGCTGCTTCTGCAATGCAGGTGGAAAAGGTGGTTCTGGAAGAGAAACCTGGTAACTCAACTAAGAAATCGCACAACTTTAACTTTGAGTAATTTTCTAGTTCTGGCCCTACAGAACCTCAGACGTGATATGTAATCAGTTATCTATTGATATAGATATGGACATCTGTAAATAGTTCAGTAAGAGCCTCAGTGAGATTTTCTGTATAACGACCCAGCGGGGAAAAGCAGTTAGCCTTAGGATTGCTTTCTGAAGAACCTGGAGCTCTAAGGATTTCCATGACCAACGCGTAATTAGAAAGTGACTAGAAAAAGGCCAAATGCCAGTCCAGCCCCTCCTTCCAGGTGCCAACTGTGCCTGGCAGTGCAGGTGCACCAATGCCTCAAACAGATGTGTGGAAGTCAGTCTAACCCCGGCCCTGTTTAACAATTTTCTTGTTTGGACACAGATATCGGAGTCACGCTAGCTTTCACCCTGAAGAGACCAGGTTGGTATGAGTGTGTCTTTTCTTTTAACATATCTTGGGGTGGTCTGGGAGGTTATTTCATAGATCCTAAGCTGGAAAACCTCATCTTTTGGGGTTACTATGCTAGCATAATCAGCAAACAAAAGAGGGCAGATGTGATGTCAGCTACCTCAAAGCCTCACCAGGCTTCCTGATTTAGTGGTTGATTCCTGTACTTTGACTGGAAACCCTGATTCCACTCTCCTTTGTAAGAAATGGCATCAGCAGCATCTATTGCATGGTACGTTGTGGGGGATCCTAAGAGATCATGCATAGAAAACTGTATTTCTTACACATGGCTCATAACAGGTGCAAAAAATGAACTTACATTTTCTTCTCATTGATACTGTAATAATTTGTAGTATGCTTTATACTTTGCAATTATATGTCCTGCTTTAATGTCACTTTGAAGTAACAAATGTCCCTGTGTCACATGGGGGACAGAAGCTCATCTAAGTACGTAGTCCCCAGCTCTAGAGCCTGAGTCACACAACTCCCCTGAGCTGTATCTTCCATTGCTGAGTCTGTTTCTGCTGCTCTATCCACTGGTGTCATGACCACTGGAGACTGGAGAGAGAAGCCTTTTCAAGCCAGGAAGAACCTTGACAATTAACTGACAGTTTTAGACACACACACCCTGTGTGTTTGTCAAACTGACATCACCATCACCTGCCTCCATGGGGAGGGGGAAGCTGGTTGAAATCTCTGGGGAATTTCTAAAAGGTTTCATTGGTCATTCTGCAGGGGGTTGAGCTGTGCCTAGACTAGGACTCCTCAGTTCTAGCTCTGTCCTAAATCAATTAAAATTTCTGAAGGTGGTTCAAGACATCAGTATGAAACAAATTTAAAAAAAAAAAACATTTTAGGAGATTCCAATAGAATAGCTAAGAGCTCTTGGTTTCAGAGGGCCAGAGGTGCCTGTGTCAAAGAACAGGTGTCTCTCACTTCCTCTTCCTTAATAGCATTCTCAACCATGCCCCATTGCCTCACTCACAGCCTTCGCTGGGAGAATCCAGATTGCCAAGGCCATTCCCACTGGGGATGTCACCCCCTAAAACAAATGATGCGTCTCCTTTCTAATAGATCCTATCATTTACCAGTAGCAACTTCTGATCTGCAGCTGGAAGTAACTCAGTCTTATCAAGCATGCATCAGAGCCACTGGCCAAGTTCCCAGGAATATCAGCCTCTGCCCTCTTGAATTGCTCATGGCAGTGAGTCTTTGGGGAGC